AAAAAAAAATTTTATACTACCAAATTATAGCAATTATGCATACACAACTACTTTAATTGTCAATTTTTTTTAGGTTTATCTATTACCTACTCGTATTGGTTATTGATCGTTTGCGCTCAAAATAAAAAAAGTATCCATCTAAGTTGCATATAAATAAAAGTATAACATACAATTAAATGAGTATTATAAATTATTTGATGATGTAACTTACAATTTTAAATAACCCTTATGAACATTATTCATCGTTATATTATAATAAATAGTTTAAAAATCAAATACAGAGTATAATTTCTTAGTTTAATAAGTGCATTATATAATTTAAATATTATTCAAATAGTAAAATATATGTTKTTTTTGAATTGAAAAACAGATATTTTAAAAATAATAGAAAAATAACTTGAACATTATTCAGTTTAATAGATTTTAATAATTCTCAATATAAATAACAATAATATATTTACTTTACATAATCACATATTATCAAAATTTGCAGTATAATAATTAATATTAACTAAGACTAATAGCATCTTTTAATTTGAAAACCAGTACTTTATTTTTTATCTTATGTTTTTCAAATGCATTAGAAAGCTAGAAAGCATTTCTGTTTGCAACACACTTTAAACTTATTCAACATGAGCTTTTGATCTCTTAATTAGACATATTGACACCACTGCTCCAGTGAATGAAAATAATGCAGACAACAAAAATCCAGAGCTATTTCCAAACATGTCCATTGTAAATCCACATATAATTGGTGCTAGAAATCTTGATATTGCCGCAGAACTAGCTCCTGCACCAGCAACTAGACCTTTGTGATCAGATGAAGACTGTTCATACAATATTTCATTGTTAAATCCTCTTATCAGTGTACTCGAAGCGCTGATTGGAATCATAGCTGCCATAAATATAATTAAATTTGGTGCCAAGGCTAAACTAACAAATCCAATACCCAACATTATAAAGGAATAAAAACATTTGGAAAATGGGTTTTTAGATGGAAATATTATGTTTTCTATTTTACCAGCTGCAAATCCAGTTATGCCACCTGTAAGTCCTTGTAAGGCACCAGTATAACCAGCTTCTGATGGAGTTAAATTGAACTTTTCATTCATAGCAAGACCAACTGAACTAAAATATGCAAACAATGCTGCAGCTCCCAACATTTTTAGGGAAAAAGCAGGCCAACATTCCTTCCAATTTACTTCCATCAAATCACTAAATGGTGATGCACTCTTTCTTTCTTTTTTTGGTACAGTTGTGTTAGGAACCGTAAAATAAACAACTAAAGCGTTGATTAGAAATATTATGGAAGTATAACATGCTAGACTATAAAATCCTTCACTTTTTTCCATTAGATGACCACCAATAATTGGTCCAATAACAAATGARAGTGAAGAAAATCCATTCATTCTTCCATAAACTGTAGTCTGTTGGTCAGCAGGTACTTGGTCATTAACTAATGTCTTGCACAAAAGTTGTGAATGTTTCAAACATCCTTGAAGAATACGAATAAGTGCTATGAATATGAATGATTTCACACAGCCTAAAACAAAATAAGCTATGGCACAAATGCATATTGTAACAATAAGTACAATTTTTCGGCCATAATGATCACTGAGTGCTCCAATTGGTGTGCCAGATAAGAATTGTARAAATGAATATGTAGAACCTAGTAAGGCTATATGAAAGTGACTAGCGCCTAAAGAGCGTAAGTGAGTGCCCCATACTGGTATGATGAGGCTAATGCTGATTAAGTCCAAGAATACAATAGCATATATGTATGAATATTTGAACATGGCTGGAAAATGTAGTTCCTAAAAATTAAAATAACAAACAAAAATTAGAGTTAATAATGAAATATATATATATTATTTTACATTAAAAGCTTAGATATTTTTTTTATWTTTTTTATATTGAAAATAAGATTTAAATATAATATATTTAGGAATTATCAGTTATGTAGGTTATGACTATTTAGAAATAGATCAATTGGGGAACAATAAAAAAGACTTGGGGAAAAAAGTTTATAAAACTTGGAACATTTAAAATAAATCTTTTTCTCTRGGATTTTTTAAAAGCTATAGCGATAATAATTTATACAATGATTTTTTTATAAATGCAATGAAACTTTTAAATAGAGGACTTTTTTTAGGGAACAGGGACATTTTCAGTACTTTTATATAGGAAAACCCCTACATACCGTACACTTTTATGGCAATTTTTATTATAAATATAGAATAATCATGATATGCCTTAATAAAAATCTATCAATCTATATTATAGTTTTAAGTTTATCTTATCTGTCAATGAAAGCATTTTTCTAGTTTATGTTCTGTGAAGTATCTTACTCATATTTAATTGTGTTTGTGATTCCATTGCATACAATTGTAATCGTAAACATATTGTCTCTAACGCAGTTTAAATTAGAAAATGCCTTGATACGTGAAATTACTATGTATCAAGGTCTAAACAAGCTAAAGCAACTGTTTTTTTCATATAATTTTAAATAATAATATGTACCTACAGTTAATATTTGTATTAAAATAATACAAATATAGAAATATTATATAAATATATAATATCATTGATTATAAATATTATATAAATAATAAATGCTGTAAATATGTAATTATTAATCTCTCTGAGTTATTTTCGAGAATTTACACCCCCCCCCCTACCCAACACTGAATAACAAACAAAACAGCGGCGACCAAGAGTGCCCGGTATTTAGAGATATCACTATATACRATATTTTTTTCCTATTTTGTAAAMATATTCCTGACAAGTCATTCAAGTGATATATATTATTTTTTAATATTATTGACTACGAGATTCAATGACATATTTTTTTATAATTATTTCATTATTTCTAATTTTTATYATACATCTTTTATATTTATAATCAATTATATTGTTATATAGGTAGTTATTAGCTATTGTCTTTATACAGACTTTTTTTATTACCATTAGATCATTCATACATTGTTAATATTATATTTATACAATATTAAGCTGGACATTGTAGACATAAGATATAGTAGATATACATTATGTACAATATAAATACCTATATTATATTACTGTCTGGATATGTTTAGCCTTAAAAATATGTATAAGACTGACGTAGACAATATGAATGTTGATTAGTTGAAATTTTAAAATCAGTCCTTAGAACAGTAAATAAATTTTAATTTTGATTACTTTTATTTGAATTAAAGGACATTTATCAATAAACAATAATATATTAGATATTAGTGGAAAGTATATAGTTAATTATATGATAAGCATAATATTAGCTGTTTACTTACTTGCATGAAAAATATTTCTAAGAGTTTTTAAGTAACAGGAATATTCCCGAGAAATATTTTGTTTCCAACACACTGAAACGTGTAATGTACAAAATAATATATAAAATCATTAAATTTTACAATCYTTAAAATTTTAAAACTTACAGTAATATATTACTATGAAGCTTTTGATATGTAATTGACACATCGGCAACTTCAACCATTTTTGTTGACAACCATCCTGCACAAATGTAAACAAAGCCGTATTAAACAGTGAATTGAATTGAGAATCTWCTTGACGAAAGAAAAAAAAATTAATTACGCCATACCCTATAACCTTACACACTGGTGATATTACTTTATTTATTTATTACTTAAAATTATGTAAGTCACAATCAAACAGTTGTAGTCAGTACATATTTCGACGGTATCAAATCTTTGCGTCTTATCGGATAAACATCACGAATTGGAAATGCAAATTTATACCAATGTGCTTAGCTTGTAAAATAATTATTAATTACGATTAGTGAACAGTAAATGATCGAAACACGGCGGCTTCGTCCATAGCCGCCCACGAGCCGATGTCTATTGGCTATTACCTGAATGATCGGTTACATAACAATAATTAGCAATTAATAATTATACAAATAGTTTGTGTTCAATTTAAATTAGGTACATAGTACCAACTTCCGTTATACATTAATTGGATTGTTTTTGTGGACGTCGTATTTAAGTATTTTACCAAGACGAATTTACATTTATAGCAAGGATAAAAATTGAAAGTGATAAAAGATTGTTTTCGGCCATCCGAGTTCCGGGTGATAGGTGATAACATTTTTTTATATAGTAACCATGGTCTGGTTTCTATAACCGGAACGTCAAAAATGATAACACTATCGTCGTATCACAGTTTCACAACAATGAGCAATTGAAAAGGAAAAATAATTTACTATTTTCGACAATCGACGAGTTTTTTACCAGCTCGTAGGGTATGTACTTTTGCATTAGGTTTACCTTGTTTGACATATTTATAATCGTTTTATTTTCATTGTTTGCTTTCATTTTACAGTTATTGAAAAAGATGAACGGCTCAGCTTTGGTGAGGTCAAATCTGGTGGCTAAAGGTCACGGCGGAGCTATTGGAYTACCAAGTTTGGCGTTTAAAAATGCGTTGCAGACACGTAGAAACACTACTGCTGCGGCTCCTCCACCACAGTTAAAGGCGTCGTACGGTAACCTTTCAGATTCTGACAGGATTTTTACGAATCTGTATGGACGCCACGACTGGCAATTAAAGGGTGCATTGAAACGCGGTGATTGGTACAAAACGAAAGAAATTTTAATAAAAGGTACCGATTACATTATTAATGAAATTAAGACTTCCGGTTTGAGGGGACGTGGTGGTGCTGGTTTCCCTACTGGTATGAAATGGAGTTTCATGAACAAACCTTCTGATGGCCGTCCAAAGTATTTGGTTGTTAACGCTGATGAAGGTGAACCAGGCACTTGCAAAGATCGTGAAATTATGAGACACGATCCTCATAAATTGATTGAAGGCTGTTTGGTTGCTGGCCGAGCAATGGGAGCTTGTGCTGCTTATATTTACATCCGTGGAGAGTTTTACAATGAAGCTTCAAATCTGCAACAAGCTATTTGCGAGGCGTATCAAGCTGGTCTTATAGGAAAAAATGCGTGCAACTCTGGCTATGACTTTGATGTATTTGTGCACAGAGGAGCTGGTGCTTATATTTGTGGAGAAGAAACAGCACTCATTGAGTCACTTGAAGGCAAACAAGGCAAACCAAGATTGAAGCCTCCTTTCCCAGCTGATGTTGGAGTTTTTGGCTGTCCCACTACAGTATCTAATGTTGAAACAGTAGCTGTTGCACCTACTATTTGCCGCCGTGGCGGTGCATGGTTTGTGGGTCTTGGAAGGCCTAGAAACTCTGGAACTAAGCTCTTTAATATATCTGGTCATGTAAACAACCCGTGTACTGTTGAAGAAGAAATGTCAATTCCTTTGAAAGAGTTGATTGAGCGACATGCTGGTGGTATAATTGGTGGCTGGGATAATTTGTTGGCTGTTATTCCTGGAGGTTCATCAACACCACTTATACCAAAACATGTTTGTGAAACGGCAATTATGGACTTTGACGGTTTGGTAGCAGCTCAAACTAGTTTAGGAACAGCAGCTCTAATTGTAATGAACAAGCAAACTGATATCGTAAAAGCTATTGCTCGTTTGATTATGTTCTATAAACACGAATCTTGCGGGCAATGTACACCTTGTCGTGAAGGAATTAATTGGATGAACAAAATTATGTATAGGTTTGTTGATGGGCAAGCTCAATCTTCAGAAATTGACATGTTGTGGGAGATTAGTAAGCAAATTGAAGGGCACACAATTTGTGCTCTTGGAGATGGTGCCGCATGGCCTGTACAAGGGCTGATTAGACATTTTAGACCTGAACTTGAATGCAGAATGAAAAAGTACCAAGAACAGAATGAAAAACAGGCTTTATCCAACTAAGAGTTATACAATAGTATTTACCTAACACAAGTCCACAAATTGTTAAATTGTGATTTTATAATATTTGTTTTGACAAGTTTATTAGTTATATATAAATATACAAATATAAATAAAATAATTTAAAAAAAATAATGTATTGATATTTATACCTTCTACTATCATAATTTGTTTTTCACTTTATCCAAATGAGTTTTTTTGTGTTAGAAAAAGTAGAGTTTAAATTAAATAACATTTTACTATAAATTTGTATTATGTTTAAAAATATTATAAATTTATAACTTATAAAATCATGTAATAGATTCACATTCTATGTATATTTCATAATATAATTTTGTCCAACTTGTATTAATGTTTTTTAATGTTTTTTTTCTTTTATTAACTATTTTCAATAAAATAGAAAATGTAGGTATGTGTTAAACCCTAAACAAAATTTAGTAATATTATTTTAATTAAAATAATATTTTTAYCTAAGTTACTTATTTCCATAACATTTATACACATTTAATGTAYTTAATTATGACAACATTATTACAATAATAATTTTTTTTTCATGATTAGACCCGACAGCAGAAGAGGATCTGTTCCTAGGCTCCGTTCCTACCGTCCACAATAATAATTTAGTATGTTGAATAATAGTAGGTGAGTAGTATTTTCCTACCAATTGTTAATTTATTACATTTTATTTACATATTCAAACTGCATACCAATATTGGTAAATATTATCAATAAGCAATTTATTGTTTCTTATGTGCTGCTCTGATAATATAGTGTACCAACTACCTATACCTAATTATTAATAGTATAAAGAAACTTAGTATATATAGTGGCAGTGTGGTACTCAAATGAGTCAAATGGGATACAAGTTGTAACAGGGAAGCATATGTCAATAAATATATTAATCGATTCAGTAGAATTTAGTGATTTAATGGTTTATTTAAATATTTAATCTCAAAGGACTAAAGTATAAGAGGAGTCGTTTTCTTTAGTTATACTTATACATTTATAAAAGATTAATTGGTACCTAGGTGGTTTTATTGTTAACATTCAACAACAGCCAACAGGTGCCTACTAATCATTTTGAATCTATTGATGATGAATTATGAAGATACCTGATGGATCGCTGGTTATTGTTTGCGCGTCACTATTGTTAATTTTAAACTTTTTAGTAAAACATTTGCGCAACGTTCGGTTTTTGGGTTATATATTGTTTGCACATTGACCATTTAAAAGGTCCTACATCATTTTGCACATCAAAATTATTCAACAATAGAAATTTAAAAAAATGTGTACCCCAAGTGCAGATTGTTCTCTAACTTTGGTCTTAAACTTTACTCGTCTATAAATTTACTCACGTTATGTTAAATTTTCGAATATTGCATATGTATAAGGTGATACACAATATACTAATTAAAARTATAATTTTGTAACTTACATTTTCGAGTTTTTGATGAATTTTGTCAAAATTTGAACAAAAATATGGTTATGTCCCAATATAAATTACTTTTAAATTGTAAAAATCTTAAATTATTTACCATCTAAATAATATTATACATCATGTACCTATCAATTCGTTGTACCTTTCTAGTCTCTATTGTTTAGAATATTGATGCGCATCTGATGTACGATAATTTGGTTCAGGTAAGCAGACGGGTATGCAAATGAAATACGGCCCTGATAGATAATAATACGATAACGAGTATATTATAATAATATGTTTATTATTTAATATTTATCAACATAAGAATAACTGCTACCTAGTGATTATAAAAAGATAAAACTAATATAATATCTGGAAAGAGAGCTGAGGGGAAATCCACACAAGCCACTGGATTTATACATAAACTATGAATTATAATCTAATGTTCAAATGTTCTAGTCTCTAGCCTTAGATTATAGGTATCACTGTATCAGGCAAGTAGTAAGTGAAATAACTAATGGAAAAACAAATTCCTGGATCGTGTTTCATACGTATCTATTTATGAGTAATACAACAATATATTTGTTTTACTGTAATAAATTTTAATATTATGCTCTATTGCATTAATTTGTATTTTTACTTACTGATTTAAATTTTAAACAAAGTAATTATACTTAAAATTAGTGGCACAACAATGCTGGCGGTTAGCATAGGCGCAACTAGGGGGGTGCTTGGGGGTGCTTCGGCATCCCCAGCTTTTAATTTAGCACCCCCAGATCAAAAACATCAAAAATGGAAAAATTATATGAAAAAGTTTTTTTTGTTTTACGTAAGGTTGTTTAAATATTAAAAGAGATGTTGTTAATAAAATTACTTCTTCAGAAATATTGAAAATATATTCCAATTCCACTAATAAAAGAAAAATAGTATTAGTGTAAAATAGTATATTATATATTATGTAAACATAGTATTATTACCTAACCTTTGAGATGATTGTGCCTCATGTAAGGGACTGCTAAAAATGTAAATTGCGTAATTATTTTGACATCAGTTATTAAAAAAATTAATATTATTTATTTGTTTATACTAGGTCATTATTTGAATCACCTTAATAATAATATAGGTAATATACCTAATGTATTTATGAGGTAAATATTAGTGTGCTTATGTTTTTATAATGCATTTAAGATTGGTTATAGTAATTATAAAATTGAAGTAGGAACTTGGGGTGTGGGGGCGTAGCCCCCACGAGCCTGTTTCATCTACATAATTTTAGCACCCCCAGTGTTTGGCCTCTAGTTGCGCCTATGGCGGTTAGGGCACTTAAGGCGGTTAGGGCTACCTCCTCTTATTGAAATGTTGTTTTTTGGCATGTTATGAATTTTATATATAATATATATTGAAACAATGTAAGCTATTATTAGGTATAATTATATTCTTAATTTCAATAATAATATAAGAATGTTAAGAATGCATGAAAATAAAAATAAATAAATTACATTTACTGATAAAGTAATTGCATGTGTTACTTTAATAAAAAAATACATCCACAATAAGAATAAATGTCAACATACTTTAATCGTATTTTGATTGGTACCTAACATATTGTTATAATAATGTCATATTAAATCACAGTATAATTATCGATGTYTTTAATTTGATTTCCTAATCACAATGTTTATTTAAAGCAAACCAAAATAAAAAAATCATTGTAATAATGTAAATGGGTATCGCCCATTTGCGCCAAAAAAAAATTAATTCGTTTTGGGTACAGCCCATTTGCGCTAAAATAAAAAAGGTATATTTTTTTCAGGCAGCCTATTTGC